GGTAGTTTTTGCAACTACTTTAAGGCATTTTACAGGCTGTGCAGTCACAGTGAGCTGGATTTGGGTTCTAATTCTCTCTCACGTTGTGTTATTTTGAACCAGTCCAGTGAACTTCTTTGGAGCCTCAATTTTCTCATCTTTAAGGCGGGATTAGGAGTACCAGCTTCACAAGTTCTGTTATGAGAGCTAAATGAAATAGCATATAGGAAAGGAATTTTACTTATTTCAGAGCACTGTGGAAATGTTAAGTTTGTAAATGTGAAGCAATATTTATAAAGCACTTAGAACAGTGCTGGCTACTTAGTACTTGTTAAATAAATTAAAGTGGTCCTAGTGACACCTTTACGTAGGAGTACACAGCGCATGGTATTACACCAAAGCTGCTTGCGAAGTGACTTAATAATATAGCCACTTAGTTCAATATGCCGGAGAAAATAGAATATAAGTTTTTTGAAAAATATTAGTCTGTAATTCCAACTTCAGTCCCTTTGAAAATAGCTATCGCTGAAACAGTTCAGTGAGGTTTTACTACATGGGGAAAATTGTTACCTACTATCACAAAATAGAGAGTTGTGTATTCGATGCCCCGGGGGGCCAGATCTGAGCAGTGGAGAGCACCCTGGGCGTGGTTATTGTACTACCAGCAACATCTGGGTTTGCTATCATGAAGACAGACGGTTTGTTGTTATTTTGCTAGAAATTCTCGGAGATCAATTAAACTGGATGGAAAAGGAGAACCCAAGGGGGCGAGGAGAGCGAAGCCAGTGAAGTACACAGCCGCTAAGCTGCATGAGAAGGGTGTCCTGCTGGGGATAGATGATCTGCAGACAAACCAGTGAGTGGGACCTGGAATGTGCACAGAACACACACACCCTCTAATCGCCCCCATAAAACCTCACTCACATTCTTTGGTTTCCTGTGGCCTTTGAAGAGAGCTTCATTTGGTCTATCAAGGCTTACCCCTGATTACAGATGACAGGGGAAACGTATGTGTATTGTCATTTGTGGTCTTCCCATCAGGCCTTGAGCATCTGGTGCCATGGGTTATATGAAGTGATGATCAAGTGATTGTGTTTCCCATGGCTTGTCCAGTGCGCCTGGATTTGCCAGCTTCCCTGTTCCCTCCAAAAGAGCTGAGTCATACAGTGAGAATAAAGGCTGTCTTTTGGTCTTGAGAGATGAGATCATTTACAATTGAAAAATAGTGCCTTTCGAATTTCAAAGCCACAGACTGTGTGCCAGTGCTTGGGTCAGAGCCCCACCAGCAGTGTGCTGTCAGTGTGTGCCTTTGAGAAAACCAAAACCCCCTCCTCCACAGCCCCACACTAGGTGCCACTGGGTTCTCTGTTTTAAAGGGACCATGAGCTCTGCACCCCATCACTCCCTAGTCCTTTGTCTGGGGGAAACCAGACCCACTACTTCTTTCTAACTCCTGCCTTCCTTCAAGGCCTGGCTCCTATTCCATTTATCCCATCAAACCTTCTGATTATTAATACAATGACTCAGAGAAAATTCTTCTTTCTCTTGGAAGTTTCTGTAAAACTTATCACCTGAAATACCCAACTGGCCCGTCAGTGGTATAAGTCAACAAATAATTCTCATATTCTGTGAGTCTCATATTTCCCTCTATATTTTGTGCTCTTTAAGAGCAAGAACCAAATTTAGCACCTTCTTTTATAATAAGGTACCTACTTCAGTGCTCCGTGAGCTACAGATCTCAACAACAGCCATCAAACTTAGTGAGCAGAGTAGGGGTAATGATGGGAGGTTTGGGGTGATTTTCTCTGGCGTTCCCAGTAGACTGTTCACTAAGGATGGTAGCCTAGGATTCCATTGATTTGTTTCAGCTTTAAGCATATATTTGCAGTGTGTCCCTTTCTTCACTAGGTTTAAAAATGTTACATTTGATATCATATCTACTGAAGATGTGGGCATCTTCGATGTCAAATCAAAATTCCTGAGTGTTGAGATGGAAAAGGTACAGCTCAATATTCAGGTAAGCTGGGGTTTCTGCAAACTGGCGGTGAGTGTGATAGTGTGGGTCATTTGTGGCTCCCCTGGCTTGCACTCTTCATGATGGCAATGAAATCCAACAAAGAAGACTAAATGTAAGCTTTATTTGCCAATATTAACCTTTTAAGCATTGATTATTTTTTTAAAAGCTATGATTTTTCAAATTATTGGAATTTAAAATGCTTTTCAATGGTAACCATAGCAGTCAGTTTTTCTAAGCCATGTTTCCATTCTGAGGCTTAAAGAAAATAATATAAAAGTATTCAGGAAAGTTCCCTGGAAAGTTTTCTTTTATTAGAAACTTGCATTTCTTTCTAAGAGAGTGTATGCCTATAACTGGAGCTTTCCTGATTCCATTGCTCCTTATTCCTTTCACATCAGCTTCTTAAATCTATTTGTTATACATTTGGGATCATATGAGTGAAAGACATTATGCAAAACAGATCATCTTTAAATAAAAAAATGGTGTTTGCAGTCTGGATTTTTGCTGTTTTCTCATAAGAACCAACCACATTTAAGCTAAATATACTTGAACAGAAACTGAGAAATCCAGTTTATGTGTCAAAAAAAAAGAAAGGTGGGTACAATCAAATGTTTAAATTCATCTACCCCCAATTTCTTAATCCTTAGCACAGGAGCAATTCAGAGATGTAATTGAGTTTTTCTTTTTGGTGTAGGAGTTTTTAAATGGAAGTAACACCTATTTACCTGGGCCCCAAACTACTTGTAAAATGATTTCCAGGCATTCTGCTTGTATCTACATGAATCATTTGAATAAGCCACTGGGAGTGATGGTAGTTCCAGCCTCACTGCCTGCTCAGCCCATCCCTAACAGTCCTGAAATTATCTCCCCTCCCCTTCTTCTCTGTCTTGCATCCCTAGCTTGAAAAGAAAAATGGGAACTAAATGGGCATGATAAGGCCATTGGGATTATGGAGTAAATTAGAGTACAGAGAGAAAATTAAAGATGTTTTTTTTATAAAGATGTATATAAAGATTTTATAAAGATGTATAATTATGAAGAGTATACTTAAGTAAACAGTATTGTTTTCTAACCTAATTTAAATTTCACTAAATGTATCCATCTGACAATTTAACTGAAAGTCTTGAGTTACTTTCTGTAACACTTAGATAAATACAGGAAGAGAAAAGAATGTTTTGGTGGTGATGGGCCTTAATTAGTGATTCTTCTCTAGAGGTGGCAGACATACCATGTGATTGCCAGGAAGGAAATGACCCAAAACCAATAATGTCAACTGGACAGATGAATCCTAAGTGACCAGTAAACACCTATTTAGAGAGGCCTCAGTAATTCCACGCAACTTCCTTTGAACACTGGTGCAAATACCAAGCTTCACTTGTTCCTTTGTTAAGGATTCAGTATGCAGTGGAATTAGCTATTCACACCATTCATTTATACACATGACTGTGAAATGTTACTCCTCAGTTGTATGCAGATGGCTAATAAGCCCCAGACTTTTAAAGTCATTACTGTACNCCCAATATCCTTGGGGCATCTTTCCAAGGCCCTGTTCCCCAGCCCCTGGGAGCCACTAATCTGCTTTCTGTCTCTATGAATTTGCCTGTTCTGGAAATTTCATATAAATGGAATTTCATATGCAATACATGGCCTTTTGTGTCTGGCTTCTTTTACTCAGCATAATATTTTTGGCTGCATAATATTCCATTGTATGGGTATTCCACATTTATCATGTCTATTTGGGCTGTTTCCATATTTTGGCTGATGTGAGTAATACTGCTGTGAACATGTGTACAACTTTTTCTTTGAACACCTGTTTCCAGTTCTTTGGGCTATATACCTAGGAGTGGAATTGCTGAGTCATACGGTATTTCTATGTTTAGCTTTTTTGAGGAACTGCCAAACGTTTTTCTATAATGGCAGCACCACTTTATATTCTCACCCACAAGGTGTGAGAGTTTCAGTTTTTTCACATCTTCACCAACATTTGTTTTGTTTTTCATTATAGCCATCCTAGTAGGTATGAAGAGTAGTATCTCTTTGTGGTTGTGATATGCATTAACCTAATGATTAATAATGTTGACCATCTTACTATGTGCTTGTCAGCCATTTGTGTATCTTCTTTATAGAAAGGTCTATTCAAATCCTTTGCCCATTTTTTAATTGAATTGTCTGTCTTTTTATTGCAGAGTTGTAAGAGTTTTTTATATATTCTAGATAGTAAACCCCTATCAGATACATGATTTGCAAATATTTTTACCCCTTCTATGGGTTGTCTTTTTATTTTCTTGGTAATATCCTTTTCTACACAAAATTTTTTTAACCTAACAAAGTCCTGTTTATCTATTTTTTGTTGTTGCTTATATTTTTGGTGTCATAATATAAGAATTCATTGCCAATCCAAGGTAATGAAGATTGACTCCTATGTTTTCTTCTAAGAGTTCTATAGTTTTAGCTCTGTGGCCTATGATCCCTTTTGAGTTAATTTTTGTATATGGCATAAGGTAGGGGTCCAACTTCATCCTCTTTTGCATGTGGATATCTAGCTATCGCACAGTCATTTCTTTGTTCTTTTTTTTTTTTAAGATTTTATTGGGGAATCAGGGAAGGGAAACAGACAAGTTGCTGTCCCTTTGTTCTTCAGTCTAGTTGTGGAGGACATTGCTTCACTGGGCCATGTTAGTATTGTGATCATTGCGCTCTTCCTGGTTGAGGCAGGTCGGTTGCCAGCCATTGANGGGCTGCAGCCTACTCTGTCGCCGGTGACTCAAGGCAGCCCAGCTCCAGGTCGAGCTGTTGTTCATCATCTTAGCTGTAGAGGGCAGTGTCACTGGCCCCCATGTGGGATCCGAACCAGGGCCCTGCTGCTCAGAGCTGGCTTCCCAAGCCAGCTCTTAACCAACGTGACACTCGGCCGACCCAAGGGGTGTCCATTCTTTTACAGTCCTGGGCTGTTGGGTTGGATTGTGGAAGCCAACTTTTTGTTTTATTTTCTAACCAAAAACTAGAATCTCTATTTTATGATTCCACTGTAAACTAAAAAGTCAGGAGTGCATTTAGAAACTTTTTAAATTCTCCATTGGCATAATTTCATACTTGAAGTAGCTTACCCTGTTGTATTTTAAGCAAGTAGATTTAACACTTGAGCAAGAACTTTCATTATTCCTTTTGTCTTTTTTAGTCAAAGGTGTGTTTTAAGCTCTATTATAAAAAAATAATAAAGCTACTCTTGTTTTTGGAATGTTTACAGTAAACAGTATTTTATATTCTTGATAATGTTGGTGCCAGGTGTTCGCTAATTGCACAGTGCAGCTTAATGGTTTTAAATTGCTTAGTGGTTTTAAAAAATCATATTGATACAAAGACAAAATTTGGCAGTTCTCTTATTACCCATTAGCATACATATTATAGGTTTTTAATATACAATATAGCCACTTTTAATGAGTATGATTTGCTCATAATAATTCTTATCCCCAGACTAAGGTCAATACTAATCAAATTTTAATTACCCATTAAAAATGTAATATAATATTTTTATGTAATCCTTGTAGTCAAATCGACAGTAGGAAATGGTGCTGCATGCAAAAATCAATTGCAATACTCTTAGAAGATTTGCTGAAGGAAAATAACCTAATTTAAACCTTATTTGTTTGAGCGCTACTAGTTCTGAATTTCGGTTCATTTGTTTGTGGCCTGTAAATTACTTTTACTCTATTCCTAGGAGGAAAAAGTTGATCAAACTAATATTTACTAGAAATAAAGTTGTTGAGGGTTTTCTTTACATACCGCATTTCCCCATGTATAAGACGCTCCCATGTGTAAGACGCACCTTAATTTTAGGGCCCAAAATTTGAAAAAAAATGTATTACATAAAGTTATTGAACTCAAGTTTTATTCATCATAAAAAAGCGAAATTTGAAAAAAGCAGGAAATGCAAG